AAGAGATTTTTGTTGCCAATTGAATGTAGAATTGAAAGTGCTTTTTATTTGGAGAAAAACCATTGACGTGCATTATTTATTTCTTCTGGAAATTTTCGGTTATTTTCTCGGGCAATAAAACGGCTTTAATTTGTTAAATAAAAAACTGTATTTGAGCAAAAACGTGCCAAACGTCTGAAAGAAATTCTTAGCCACGACGATCTAAAAGCCCAAAAAAGTCCTAATAAAAACTGGAAATGATGCTAATATCAATAAAACACGCTTCTTATCAGAGGCTGACAGAAACGTGCAAATGCACATTTCCTTATCAAATGGCGCGTAGAAATACCAGGCACCAAAGGCAATTGACAAGAAAACTGGCATCACGCGATGGCCATTTTTCCGGCCAAATGGGCGACACTGAAAACGCCATCCAGACCGCAAACGGCGGAAAAATGAGGCGATTTAAAAATTCATTTTCTATAAGTCGATGCAAGATTAGATAATAATCGGTTAAACGCTTTTGCCACGTTAACTATCAGTTGGGTGCGAGTCTTGGACGTTCCAGCGGTATTTCCCAGATGGTAAGGATAAGGGGGTTATAAGGGTTATTTTGCGCAATTTGCTTGTTAAAAGTTATAAATAAGTGAAAATTAATCTATTTCAATAGGAAAAGGTGAAGTTTATCGATTCGTTAAACGATGATGTGGGATTTCGTTGGCTCCGGATTGGTACCTGAAACTCCCCAAATTAGACTGTCATCGGTTCGTCTAATGATAGGCCAGTGTCGGCAACGGAACCCTGTGATTGGGGCAAAACAAATATTTGCGCCAACTTTGGTGCGAATTAGCTCTGTGGGCGGCCAAGTGCAGGTCTATTATTTCGCCTCCAGGCCGCTTAGATTAGAACCCAATTGGGCGGGTTCCTGTACAAAACTCACTCACTTGCCACATTGATTTCGAACAGCACCCCCCCAACAATGCATGATTTTCTTGCCCATCTCCTTGAATCCCCATCTTCTTGCCACGTTCATTATCGCTCGATGTGTGTGTCCAAATATTGAGACAGTAAAAAAGTTGGGGTACCCTAATTTATTAGATACGACCTCGGGGCGCCGTACCTTTTTTCGGCTCCCGCGTGCCTAATAAAGCGGACCCAAAACAACAAATATGTGATTCTGCTGGTCGGTGGGGGCCCCCATCACGCGATAAATCAGCTCAGTTTTGAAGAAGCCGCCAAAAAAATCCAGTTTAATTACACCTCGGATTTATATTACCTTCGGGAGTGCCCCCGTAGAACTTTGCTTCTGTGACAATACGCTGTTACGAGGGGATATCCCATTAAGTTGAAATTACTCAGTAAAATTGGTAATGGTAAAATGTTTTTCATTTGGGTTTTCTTAATAGGAAAATTGATTGTTTGTTTGTATAACGGGATTTGAATCAAAGTAAAACAAGACTTTTTTTTATTGCCGACAAATCAATAGCAGTGACAAATATCACAGATTTGAATGATTTATTTTTGGGCCACCCAGTGAAAATAATTTTACCATAAAAACCGCATTAAAAAGTAAAAATTTATGGGTCCGAGCATTTTCCTCTTTATTTTTATATCTGGGGCTCACTGCATATCCGAGGCGCTATCTGTATATTTGCTTGTACTAACCATATGGTTGGATCAATGGATCATGTCCGATATTTCCTTAACAAAAGGTTTAATTGGGTGACTTGTACGCGATTAAAAGACATAAAATGAAGATTTCTTCGTTGAACTTTGAAGATTCCAAGTCCCAGGTGGCACTGGTTCGAAAAGAATGGCACAATTAAATGCATTAAAGAAACTAGTTAATTATTACATTACCCAGTAGTAAAAACCTTTCTAACGGTTTAACGTACGTATTATCTTTATGAATTTATGCTTGATGCCTTCGGATTGTTGATTTCGGCCTGAGACCGCTCTGCTTCGTTTGGCACGATCTAAGCGCGAATTTGACGCGGTCGTTTGTTCGGAAGAAATTGAGAATTCCCCAGAATGCCGTTCTGTGCCCTTATAAATAATCTATACGGCTGAAACCCATCTGTCCCGACTGAGGCAGCCGTCATCATTAAAAAGCCGAAGAAAAAAAAATAGCAGCGCAAACAAAATTAACTTTCTTGTTATTAGGAAAGTCAATTTATAAAGTAGCATATGTGTGGCGGGGCCCGTATTTAACGTCCTAAAGTGGCCTTTTCTTCAAGCCCAACCACGGAAAATTGCTTTATTATACCGTATATAGGTGAAGAATGATTCGGCCGGCAAACTGTGCCGATTTGAACCGCAGTTACCATTAAAACTACATCTAAAGAATAGTAAGGTAATGTAAAGCCGCATAAAATATTGATGACATAATTGATCTTCTAATCGTCGAAAGTAAGTTGGGCGACGAACACGGAAAATTAATGCTAGTTTACTGGGTCAGAACAAAACGATTCGTTTAAGTCGCTTTATTATGAAGCTTTTCGCTTTCTGCCTCGAATCAGCCAAATCCAATTTGCATAAACGATGCAATTTGTTTTCCATTTTCGCTCGCTCAATCGGAATATTCGATAAATTGCGCTCTTCGAACACAAGACACAGGACACTTTTTCTAAGAGAAAACAGTGCAAACAGCCTTCAGCCCAAATTGAACGAATTGGGGCCAATAGGAGCGCATGAAAGGGCGGTTGCTATGGAAATTTCGCTGTTGTTTCTTGCAGAACAGGACTTATTGCACCATCGGGGGGTAGTGAGTGTAGTTGAGGAGGAACAGCGTTGTTTTGAATGTTATTTCCGTTCTGAGTGTGCAGCGGGGAGTGCATTCGGAAGGTCAGGTTCGTATCGAAAGAGCCGCGACGCATACCAATCAGCTCGAGCTTCCTCCCGGTGGCTTACGGATGCCAAAATGGCTCAATTTCCTGTCCAAGCAGCCGTGATTCATCTGTTGTGTGCAAGTTTCAGAAAATCGATGTCGTTTCGACGCCCCGTCTGACGATGCCTAATTAATCTCTTTTTCAGTGTAATTTTTATTTGGGACAAAACGCGAGTGACAAACAGGAAAAAGGCAATTTGACGCCGGTACCGCCGGAAATGCTCGTGTTTGCGTCGGAATTCAGACGGGGCGGGCTCTTTGATTTGTCGTCGCGAGATGGTGATCAACATTGAAAATTCGACAATTTAAATTTAATATAAACATATCGGCCGTTGGTGCAACAAGTCCAATCCCAATGCCCAAAGTGGGAACCAAGGGCCATTTCCATAGCAACGCCCAATAACAACAGAAGGGCCATTGGCTCATGCTAGGGAAACGACAATTTGCACTATAGGTTCACTCAGGAGGGTTTTTTTGTTTCAGAATCGTGCTCGTCACGCAGTACCCCAAAGCCGCGCCCACCAGCGCCCACCCCCCGGCCCAATATCACATTCCTCACGTATCCGTGCCCCCCCGCCTACGCAGCCTGGTTTTGCCTCAATGGGGCCACTTGTTTCACCGTCAAGATCCAAGACAGCCTCCTTTACAACTGCATGTAAGTGATTTGCTCAGAGCGCGTGCTTTGAATGGGGGTTAATTGGATGTTTTCCAGGTGTGCGGATGGATATCAAGGGTCCCGGTGCGAATACAAAGACCTGGATGGATCATATATGCGTAAGTATTTTTTGTGCGGTTTTGTGTTTGTGGATGAAAATGGTTTTTGTTGTTTTTTTCAGCATCTCAACGGCGCTTCATGCTCGAGACCGCCTCCATAGCGGGGGGTGCCACAATTGCCGTCTTTTCCGCCGTCATTCTATGTTTGGCCGCCTATTTGAGGTGGCGGCGACGCAAAAAGGGCGGCGCCGCCACTGATGAAGTCGATGGACTCCCGCGGAACCATCATCGACAGCCCATCTTTGGAGTGCGGCCACAAGGTATGTAAAATGTCAGTCAATTCGTTTAAGGATTACTGTTTGTCCAAATGCCGTGAATCTTTCGCTATCGAAACTCCATGCGGTTTATGGAAACTTTTTTAAATTTCCAGTTTAGTTTTTTCTATCTGTGTTCAGGATAGAAAAATTTGTTGACCCCAACCTGGGAGAGACAGAAGCCTAATTTTTTTGCTCAATATAAAGAAAAGTATTCTCAAGATTCTTCGAAGTTTCTGGTGAATAGAGCGAGGTTTTTAAGAATTTTTTTTTAACATTCAAGTCTAGTTTTTCTAGTTTCAATCCGGGATAGAAGAATTAGTTGCAGCCAAACGATAAACTAGAAGTTTGTTTTTTAACACGAAGAAAAGTCTTCTGAAGATCCTTTGTGAGCTTGATCTCATTCGATATTTTGTTGAGTTTTTAATGACTGGGTCCGAAATGCAAAACTGCGTCATGTTCAAACTAGAGGAGATAGAGAGCTGATTTTTTTCTTCATTATAAGGGAAGGTCTTCTCAAGATTATTTGTGAGTTTTGCTTAAATCGAGCTACTAAGAGGTTTCAAAGTGGTAAGTGCAGTTTCCTCCCCCGCAGTCGAGATTAGAACATTGGTCGCTTTCAGCCTAGAAGAGACAGAAGGGTTTTTCCTCAACATGAAGAGTGTGTTTTATCTGATCTGTGACTTTGGTCTGAATCGGTTCACTTAGGGCATTTTGAGAAATTTTCAAGTCGTCCGAAAATCCTGTCGAAATATTCTTGAACATCAGTCCAGAATTCAAAAATTCGTCGCAGCCAAACTAGAAGAGATGCAAGCGTGCATTTTTCCTTTAATTCAAGGAAGAGTATTCTCAAGATTCTCCGCGAATTTCGATGCAATCGCGCAACTGAGAGGGTTTTGAGAAAATTTTCAAAGTCTCAATTGAAGGTTCTTGCATTGCAATCCAAAGCTCAAAATTTTGTCGCTTCCAGACTAGGAGATTGAAGCCCGAATTTTTAATTGAACTTGAAGAATGCGTTTCTTAAGTTCTTCCCTGTGTTGAGTCTCAATCGGCCCATTTGGAAGAGACATTTTGAAATGATCCGAAAATCCTGTCGAAATATTCTTCAACATCAGTCCAGAATTCAAAAATTAGTCGCAGCCAAACTAGAAGAGATACAAGCGTGCATTTTTCCTTTAATTCAAGGAAGAGTATTCTCAAGATTATCCGCGAATTTCGATGCAATCGCGCAACTGAGAGGGTTTTGAGAAATTTTCAAAGGCTCAATTGAAGGTTCTTGCATTGGCAATACAAATCTCAAAATTTTGTTGCTCCCAGACTAGGAGATTGAAGCCCGAATGTTTAATTGAACTTGAAGAATGTTTTTCTTAAGTTCTTCCCTGAGTTGAGTCTCAATCGGACCATTTGGAAGATTAAGAGACATTTTGAAGTGATCCGAAAATCCTGTTGAAATGATCTTCAACATCAGTCCAGAATTCAAAAATTCGTCGCAGCCAAACTAGAAGAGATGCAAGCGTGCATTTTTCCTTTAATTCAAGGAAGAGTATTCTCAAGATTACCCGCGAATTGCGATGCAATCGCGCAACTGAGAGGGTTTTGAGAAATTTTCAAAGTCTCAATTGAAGGTTCTTGCATTGCAATCCAAAGCTCAAAATTTTGTCGCTTCCAGACTAGGAGATTGAAGCCCGAATTTTTAATTGAACTTGAAGAATGTTTTTCTTAAGTTCTTCCCTGAGTTGAGTCTCAATCAGACCATTTGGAAGATTAAGAGACATTTTGAAGTGATCCAAAAATCCTGTTGAAATAATCTTCAACATCAGACCAGAATTCAAAAATTATTCGCCAACAAATTAGAGTAGATAGAAGCGTGGAATTTTTTCTCCATCATGAGGAAGAGTCTTCTTAAGATGGTGTCTAAGTTTCATGTGAATAGAGCGACTTGGATGTTTTTGAGAAAATTTCAAAGCTTAGTTTTGCGGTCTCAATCTGGGATTGAAAAATTCGTTGCTGCCAAACTAGAGAACCCAGAAGCGTGTTTTGTATTCAAGGCTAGAAAGAGTCTTATGAAGATGCTCTGTGAGCTTGATATTATTCGAGCTTCTTTGAGGATTGTGAGGAATTTTCAAGTTGAGTGTTTTGTGTACAAAAATGCGTCAACAAAGTCTCAATTTTCTCCGCGAGTTTCGTTCCAATCGAGGCACTAAGACGTCTTTGGCCTTTCTTGTTGATTGTTTTTCTGGTAATGCTGCAAAACAAACTTCGAAAAATTGTTTCCCAACAAACAAACGTGACAATTTTTGACAAAAATTAACAATGAAAAAGTGTGTAATCTACATAATACTGTTCGAATTTCTTCGAAACTTTTTGTGGAGGAACTTTGAGTTTTTTGAAGCAAATTTCTAGGTGATAAAAATATCAATTTCCGTTGTTGCAGGTCAAAACTTGGTTCCAATTCGTACCAGTACGCTAAACCCGTTCCGAGGCCATCCAGGCAACAATCACGCCGTGCCAGGGCCAGGGAGTACCACCGTGCCTCCGCTCGAGCCGAATCTCCTGCCCGATTCAGATCGACCCTATTCGGGAAATGAGGGAACGCCGCACGATCGAGGAGATCATCCGGCCACCCTGCTACGGGGCGAACCACCCTGGGGAGTGTAACGCGTGAACTGTGCTTAAAACAGTGATAATCGAACAATAAACTGTAACATAAAGCAATGTACAAGCACTTTGTTATACGCAGCAGCAGCAGCGGAATCGGCTTCGCTCCCATATGTTGGAAATGTAGAAAAAAAACAATGGCAACGTGAAATTAGGAAAAATGTCCAACAGCATTGTAAGTTTTATTATTTAATTTATTTATATTTCTTATCCTTGTCTTTTTATTAAAACAGTCTCTGGTTTAAGTTGAGCTCTTTCTTTACTGTGGCGAAAACGAATTGTGCTAGTTCTCTAGGGTGGTACCTAGAGCGTCTCACACAGTCCTTTGACTTGGTGGTACCACCCTGGCCTTCAACCGGAGGGACAACAATGTATAGCAAGTCTGATTAATGTAAGGCTGAACTAAATAGTAGGTTATTCAAATGTGTAAATATGTACCTAGAAGGGGGTAATTTTTAAATGGAATCCGCAGCGGTGTGATATTTCTGTGCAGGTTTCCAGCTGGAAGCCCAGCAGACAGGCGGAAGACTTCGATGGTCGCGGTCTTAAACGTTTACGTCTAAATGTTTAAAACTGTGCCATTTTGATTCGCGCACGTTCTGCTAGGTTTGCATGCGAGAAATCGACGGCTCGAGACTATTTTTTTACTCGGTGTAAAGATGATTTTTTGTTACATTCCCGAAGATTTCGATTGGAAGAATGAAGCCTCGCTACTACTTTGTTATGATTGTTAACTTGTTGTATTTACCTTATTTTCTCTCAATAATAATTATTGTGCATGCCGATTTTTCCCGGAAAATCGACCGCAAACCAGTAAATTATTTTTAAATGTTGTATAAATGTAGATAATGCCGTCAATATTCCAATACAAGGGCCGGTCGAGGAAATCCAGAACCAGGAAGGAAGGAACTACACACCAAATTCGTGTCTTGTTCGCAATCACTTACTGCAAAACTGGGCCTGAACATTAAGCACTAAAAGATGTAGATAAGTTATCTAGGATGCTGTGTTTGAAAGCATAATGCTTTTAAACCCAGCATGTCCTCACTTTTTTACTATAGGAAGTGATTGAAGGGTTGTGGTTTTCCTCGATACCCCTTAGCATTTCGAAAAACTTTGGCAATAATGAAGCGCAAGAGTGTAATTTAAAAATAGTTAGTTAAACAATTACGTGTAAGCACCTGGTTCCTAATAAAAGAATTATTTAGCAACTAATTCCTCGATAACGCTAATTTAAGCATGTACTCGTACACAACACACATACACACAACGAAATTTCTACCAAAAATGGCAAATATTTTATGTTTAGCTTGTAGAGGCCTTGTAGTATTCTAACATAATGTGTTCACCTATTTATTTTTGTCCGATTTATCGCGCGTGGAAATATTTGTATTTTTTGGTACTGCGTCTCTGATTTTATGTGTTCACTCGTTTCTCCACTGCAAAAAAATCTCCAAGTCTCGAATTTTAAAGAAACTGTACGCTCACAACACCTTAGAACGACGTAAACCATGTTCAAGTATTAATAATGTTAATATATTCATTTGTATCGATAGATATTTTTATACCTAAGTTATTTTATGTCTTTGGCAGGTGTAGTTTTTAATTCCAAGGCAGTAGGCACCATTTTTATTATGTACTCTTAAAAGGGGAAATGCGATTTTGTGTAAATACGTACTAGTGGTATTGCGCATTTCTCCTCTCAACAAAAAAATGTTAGAATACTTGTTTATTATTTTCACAGTAATTTGTAATGTTTAAAATAAAATCATCAACTACATGCCCGTTATTGTTGCCGGTCACCAGAACAACACTCCCTTCAAAAAAAAAACCTGATGATAAATACTTATATTTTATTAATATTACTTTAAACCAATTTAAAGACATGGAATAGTTTCTTTAAACAAACGGTAGATGAACGTTAAAAATATACAATAATACCTAGGCACTGATTTCATGAGAAATGTACAATTCTTCGGCCCCTTTTTGCGGAGAAAAACCCCCCAACTTCAGTGAAAAATTGGCCGATCACATTTTTGATCGCCACGCTACAAGGCCGGTTCGATAAAGCGGTTATTAATTGACTACTTGCGAACATGGGCCCGTAGAGGAGCTGAATACAAAAAAAGCCGGTTACCAAAACACGTTGGTCATCCAATAGCTTTACTTTGTACTAAATTACATAAGGGCGAAAATTATACACAAAAAAACTTAAGTCGCTCACACAGGGTGAAGAAATACATACCAGCTTAAACCACCGACAAACAAAAATTAAAAGTGGCACGCTTCTATTGAATTGATTGATCACCCTGTATATGTTTGAAAAGTCCTTAGATTCGATGGATACACTGTTTGATACAATTGGCCGCGCAAGGGATTATTCCGTATATCACAACATACGCACCTGATTTTTATCGACAATCTACTAAACGTCCTCTTTGTGACGATAAAAATAAACACAGGTATTACCTAAAGGAAATACAGGATTCGGATTCAACCTTATACATATATATTTATAATAAAATATTGCTAAACGAATGATCATAACCAAGGGCCTAGAAGTGCTTGGCTTTTCAAGCACCCTCGGCCCTTCATAATAAACTACAACAGCAAACAGCAAAGGATTGTTGAACAGCTTGGGCTAAAGGCAAGAGAACGGTTTTGTTTGGTAACTGTTATCTTAGAAAGATTATTTAGTGTCTCTAATCGAGGAAGAAATTCGATTAAACTACCCTTTTCCTTGCCCTACGCCCGTGGCTGCAGGAATTACAGAACGGGAATAATCACAGATCGTCTTTGCAAGTATTGGAGGCACGTGGTTGAAATGCTACTCAAATGAGTCAAAGAAGAGGAAAAACTGAAAATGTTTAGCTGAATTTTCCAATAAAATTAATGAAGCGTGAGAACTCCAACTGCTGACAAACTTAACTCGAAATCAACACAACCATTGGTAAAAGTAACCGGACTGAATTTACTACTAGATTAGTAACCAACTACACACACACAGGACTGTCAGCCTGTGACTAACACAAAAAGGTAAACAGTCAGACAATGGGGGCAAAAAAAGGAAAAATTCGCAGATCTATGAGCAAATTTCTCAAAATCACACGTTCGCTTTAGGAAATTTTAAAACCAGTTCCATCACAATTCCCTCACCCTAGAAGGCAATGTGGAGCCTATATAAATACTTACATGCAGTTTAAGTGAAACGAAAATTTCGCCTGTATTATGATGCTAAGTAAGCACACGCACATACAGCAGCAGCCTTATCCATATTGTCCTAAGGTACGTCTCCACCCATCATGTAGAAAAGTCCGCAGTAGAAAATCGATTAACTAAGTCAGCAATTGTTCGCTCGTATGGCAAATTCACTTTGTTGTTTTTTTTTTGTAATTACTTTACTTAAGGTTTGCAATGTTTCAAGCTCCCATCATCTCACACTTTCTCCTGCTGCTCTGTTTTGGACTTTTCAGGTGATTTTTCCTGCTTGTCTGCAGGCTTGCACGCATCTCCTACTAGGGACCTGGAAAAAAATACAAACATCATTGTGTTGCACAATACAGTCCTGCGGAAATTCATTTGTTGATAATATTAGATTGGAACTGGGAAACTGAGTTGCGCATTCAGGAACGTAGCTGGTGTCGGCGCTCTCACTCGCGCACATTAGAATCTATGAGAGTTGCAGATCGACGGCGCCTTGCTACGTTCCAAATTCATACTTTCACGGCTTAAATCCTGGCAGTTATAAATGGGGCAAAGTTGGAAAAAATATGACATAGCTTTTGTTTAAACACTAATCGTCTAATTAAGACCAAAATCTCAATGCAGGCAAGATTTATTGTTTCTGTAATTTTGAAACGCGATTATTCGAAAACCTCTAGACAAAAAGCAACAAAGTAATAACTAATGTAAAGAGAATTGAACGCCCTTTAAAACGATGTGCCACTTGACTCACCCCCCCTTCCCATTTAAGATTCTAAGGGTGACATCTACTCCTCCTAGAGGGTTGAAACACGGAGGCAAAAATATTAATTTAAAGTGTCCTCCTTACAAATTGACGGGTCTCCGATTTTTCATATTTTCAACTGCAATAAAGATACTAAATGTGGGAAGTTTTCAAATTGACACCCTGTATACACAGGTATATATTTCTTCCAGTATAGACCAGAAGAGTCATTAGGATGCAACTGTAAACAGTTAGAAGCGAAAATGTTGCTTAACGGCCGGAACACATCTATCCGATCCGACTCCGATCAGAGAATCTTCCGTCGATGACCAAATAATCGGATCGGTGCGTAATCGGAAAGGGGAAGCCACACATGTCATACACGTTTCAGTTTCCGTTCCGATTTTTGGACGAGTGCAAATCACAGATTATCAAACTATTCCTAAGACTAAGT